ACAGGAAAGGCGCCCGCTGCCGTGGCCTAGGTTTCTCACTGAAAATCCTCTTCCCCCGGCGGCACCTTTTTTTTGAATTTTCCTTCCTTTTCAACGGCGTTTTTTGGGAATTTCGGATTTTTTTTGAATTTTTTCGCAATAATATTCGGAAAATAGATAACTTCTAACACATTTTAATGCAATAAAAATTTCTGGTCGGAGTCCCCCTTGAAACATTTTGTCAGCTGACCACTTTTTGATATCTTTGTCAGGAAATGAGATAAATGGGCTCAAAGTTGAAAGATGAGGAAGTCATTCTTTTAGAGCGTTTACGGTAGGAATTTGGAATTGAAAGGAAATAACAATGTCAAAAAGGTAAAAGTGCGAACCGGTGAAATTCTTTGTGTGTGAAAAGTCAAAAAGAAAACTCAGTCCAACTGTTATTTTTCAATTGTGTGCTATGTTGTTTGTCTCTCTTTTCATCTCTTCTTCTCTTCCCTACCAAGTTCTCAATTCGCTTCCCGCTGCATCTCCCACTTCCCGATAACACTTTTTTCTTTCTCTCGGAATCTCTGAACTTTCAGTGTTATTTTAGTCGGGTAAATGACAAAAAGTGAGAAAAAAAATTCAAAAGAGAAGTGATTTCTCTCACCGATTTCACAACAATCTCTCACCAACAAAGTTCTTCAAACTTCTCCATTCTTCTTTTTAGTTCAAAAGTGAAATACAGGCAAGAATTATGAGTCACCTGAATATTGGATTACGAAACCAGTGACACGAACTGTTTCTGAATAGGAAAAATCGGGAAAATCATAGGATCCAGTTTTTTTCAAAGTACTTTCGACAACAGTAAACACTATTTATGAATGACGTCAATTGAAACGACCTAATCAGTAGATCATCCAACGGAAATGAAATGTTTTTGAATTTTAAAGCGCACAACAGGTATTATTATTATTATTATTATTCGATCATGGAATTACACAAACATTTCTAAAAACAAAGAACATAACAATTTTTCAAAGCATAGGTTTGAAAAACTTATAAATTAAGGACCAGGATGTATTTACAATTCAGCTATCCTTGTTTTCAAATTCCGGGTGATTTTCAAAAATATATTGTGAACTCATGAATATGGAACCAATAAAAAACCAAATCTGATAAATAAAAAAAAAGTGTTACCTTCAGTAGACTGACATATGCGGACCCTGAAACTTCTGGACTCTTTTTTTTCTTGTGGAGGGATGTAAACATGTTTATTGTTTCCGTTCATCTTTGAGTTTTTGGGAGCGTCTCTCAAATTGCTGTTGTGAAAGTTTTTCTTTTGTCATTTTCGGGTGTATGAGTTTTTGTGCTGGTATTGAAAACATTTTCGCTTTGAACATTTTTGTTTCATGGAATTTAGCAAAATATGTGAAAGTCCACTTCATGGAAAAATCGAATTCCCATGTCATCAATTTTGTAATAATTTTAATCTTGACAGTTGCCTGGAGTTTTTGTTCAGCTATGGTTTCTTTTTTCCAAATTTTTTTGTTTTTGCTGCAATAAAGTTCCGCGGAGTAGTTTTGCTGAATTATTTTTAAAAATTTGCCGAATTTTACAATCATCGGGAGATTTGCACCTTGAGATAAATTATCTCAATTACCGTAAGAGATTTGGAAAATCTGAAAACTAGTGAAATGTTGGTGAATCCCAGGAAAACATTTTACGAGTTCACTAATTTTTGATATTTCTCATAGAAACCGAGATTACTGTCTTCAAATATAGTTTGTTTTCGATTAAAACCTTTTCCCCTACATCGTTACTGTGAACAGAACATGAGTTAAATTCTGAGCACGTTGCCAGATAATTTTCATTTCAACGAAGCATGTCGAAGGAGCAGTGGAAACAATATCGTGTATTTCGTGTGTTCATGTTGCTCTTTATTCTTTTCAGAGAGAAAAAGGATGAAGACGCATCGGAAGACAATCAATGTTGCAGTGCGAAGAATTTATTGAAAAATATCACAATTTGTGGAAGCCACCTGAAGTCGGAATACATACGAACAATATAAAATATCAAATAAATTAGTTTCCTTTTCAAAATCTCGTTTTTGAAAAAGTATTTCTCAGCTCTCCATTCATTCAATTTGTTCAGAACATCTCAAAACAATTATTTCCAAAAACTTCCACTTTGAAAAAAAGAGAAAAAGGTTCTACTTTCAATTTATCCAAATTCCTAGTCTAGAAAATAAGCATGTGAGTATAGGGATCTTACTCTAATTCAGTAGTTATTATATTTTCAGCAAATAATAATTTTCAACCTCTTCCTCAATAATCGTCTACAAATTTGTTGTTCTCCGAATACGTTTTCAATGCATTCTCATATTTACCGCGAAAAACACCAGATTTTTAAAGAGTGTATGCTTGTTGGTCTCTGATTGTGATTTCCTCTTATTTAGTTAATCCAAATACATGTTGCTACTAAAATATCTATTAGAGCTAGGAAAATTGCGATTTTTGATATTTTAACATCATTTCCTTTTTATGAAGGAAATAGCTTTTTTTTCTCGAAATATGCTCAAAAGTAGAAACAAAAAACTATTGGCACTTGGAAGTATATTGAAATATTGAATCGTTTGAGTAGAATAAAAATTGGGGATTATAATTTGTGAGTCATGCGAATTGTCTATATATATATATATATATATATATATATATATATATATATATATATATATATATATATATATATATATATATATATCCTTTAATATATCCCAGTGCGAAAATCAACTTGAATCGAATTATTATGATTTCGTTTTTTATAACAATTTGACGGAAATTCCGTTTCCAGATCATTCTGAATGAATTCGATGTTGTATCGTTGATAAAGTCAAAAAGAAAAACTTAAGAAAAATTCTCAACATTTCCAAAAACCCGGAAGTTTCGAACATAGTTTCGAAAATAATATGATTTTTTAAAGAGAATTTTTATTAGCATTATGGAATTAATGTCATTGTGAAGCTCCAAATACTATCCAATAACCTCTATTGACTCTCAAGATTTTCGAAATTCGGCTTTTTTTCTCAGGCACGTGACTCTTACACCAGGAACTCAAAATCTGAGAATTTTTCACCGCTTCACATTTTCTTTTCCAAACGGAAAAGGAAAATTTCAGTTGTTTTTTCCTGTTCCATGTACCTGAAATTTTTTCCCTGGCCAATTATGTTTGTTGTTCGGAACTCATTTTGTTTTCCTTTGACGCATTTCCACGTTCTTTAAATTTTAAAACTCCGCCTTCAGTAGTTTCAGGTGTTTTTTCACTTTTTTTGTTTTAACAATATTTTTCACTATTCATTTTAGTTCTGGGTGCGAGAGAGCCTCTGTTTTCAAGTTTCACAATTATATCAACTCTAATCATATGATATCGATGGGAGATGAATCATTTCCACGACTTTTCAAAGCCTGAAAAGAGAGAGTGTGAGGGAGGAAGTGAGTTAGTAATTCGCTTGGGTTTGTTGTGAAGTTGGTTGCCTGGAGAAACTTGCTCCGCCCTTCAGATTCGCTTCCTGTCCTTCATTTTCTACCTTCTCTAGCTTTGTGTGTGTGTTTTTTCCCGATTTTATTTTCACACTGTTTTTGACTTACAGATCGGAATCACGCGGATGAACAGGAAGTGGAATATGTTCATTGCAATCATGGTGTTCTCAACAATTTGGGGATGTTTTATCGGTGAGTTAGGGTGCTTATAGTTTAGGAAGTGCGGTTGATCGAGTTTTCCTTTTTATGGTGGTTCTTTTTTTGGTTAAAGTCTAACTATACAGTTTTGAAAGGCTAGGAGAATATAAAAGAATGAATAAAATTGGATAGATATATCAAGTTGAAGTCAATGATGCACAGTTGACGTTTTGAAGATTTTTGTTTTAATGGTCTAATATTGAAAAAAAAACAAAACTATATTAAATTCAGAAGAAGAAGTGAAAATTAAGGTTCAGTTGTTTATTAGTATCGACAAATGTTGTTACAACTTTTCAACCAGGTGCATAACCTTACCGAATCATTCTAGTTTTTCATAAATAACTTACACATATCCTGAGCTCAAGAAGGATGATGTCATACCTGAACAGACGTTATTATGATTATGATTTCGAAATTTTCAGCTTGCTATCAAATTTCTTAAAATTCATAAAATGATTTTTTTAATCATAATTGTCAACCTTACCGGTGACATTTTAGAAGTACAATGTCATAAGTATTGTTGTCTAATGAAACTTCAATCTTTTTCATCAAAGTATGAACATTTTTAAATCCTAATTACTCATTAAATTTTCTTTTATCTTTTCTCGTTTCTACTGAGAGTTAGTAAAAATATTTATTTTCAAAATTATTCCTCGTTATTCTCAAAAAAAAGTTCTGATTATTCTTTCTCAGAATACCAGTCATAATGTCTCACGTGTATAAATTTTATTATGATTTTGAAAACTTTTCCATAAGTAATGTGAATGACTTTTCTAAGGTTTTGACACTTTTCAAATCACCTCTGTCTAGTCTGATGATAGTGTTGTTAAAGTACATGCTATTTTTAAATCAGAAAACGGAAGTTGTTTCAAAGTATAAAGAGATTACCGTAGCCTCTGCAATTTCGGAAAGTTCATTTGAAAATATATTCCCCCGAAAAAGTTCATCATTTTTTCTCACACCCTCCCATCTCTGAACTCTTCTTTACTGATACCTTTGTTTTGAAAAAAAAATCCACCCATGCTTCCTTAGTGAGAAAATGAGTTAGCGTACACGTGAGCACCTACACACCTACACATTATCTCCACTGTCTTCTGTGTCATACAAGTGATGTGAAAAATCAGATTCCGTGAAAATAACAAAGCCTTGTTATGATAAGAAAAAGTCTGAAAAAAAATTAGTTTCAAATTTTCAGCTGGAAAACCGGCGAAAGAATGTGTTTTCAACGGAACAGTGACTGGGCTCGAGGATAATTGCACTCGGATTACTGGAAATTTGGTATTCGGAGGTTCTGATCCTGTTGCTGTGAGAAATCCAATTATCAGGCATTTGATAAAATTTGATGTTTCAGACCCTCTATTCCAAATTGGCCTACGTCGAGGAAGTGAATGGATGTGTTCAAGTTTCCGAAACCACTTACCCTCGTCTTGACTTTTTCGCCCGTCTGCGTACTGTCGTTTGTACCAATACTAGTATGCTTCTTTTGCTTAGGACACTTCTTCTAATATTTTTCAGGTTTCCCAGTAGACTTTATGGTCGCAAATAATTCTGCTCTCGAGCGTTTGGGAATGCCGTATCTCAGGTATGAAAAAAGTTATTTACGAGTGCTGTCTACAAAAATTCAGAGTAAATCGTCTGGGACTCACATTCAACCCGAAGTTGTGCATTACTTCTGAGGAAGGGATGAGGTATACAAATGTGCAGAGAGGGCAGAACGATAGTTTTGTAGTTTGTCAAGGAAGAGCTGGTGAGCAATCTAGATAGAGAAATACATCATGATAATGATTCTAGGACCATTGAAAGAGTGCAACTCGACAATGAATGGAATTAATGGCGGATTAACTGATGGATGTGAGCTAATTACCGGACACTTGTACGTTGAGGGAACCAACAATGCCAACATTACGGATAAGTTGCAATATGTTAAGGAAGTGTATGGAAGGGTCTATATCCGATCCACCAATTTGAACACTCTATCGATGCCATTGTTGGAGAAAGTCTACGCATCGGATCCAATGGCAACAGCTAGTAAGAGGAATTAAAATCAAAATTGAAGGGATTGATAAAGGAAATAAATTTGAAATGAATATAATAGATCGTTCAATGTTTTTTTGAGAATCAAACTACTTGAAAAAAAAGCAGGTGTTTAAACAAATTTCTGATGTTTGAATTTGATGTCACAAAAAACAAAATTCGCAATTTCTTTCCAGCTCTCGAGCCAACCTTCTCTGTCTCTGGAAACACCAACTTCACTAAACTCCAAGTTCCAAAAGTCAACTTCATGGCAAAGAGCGACCAAGCCTTCTTGACTTCCGACGCCTCCTACGTCATGGATCAAGATCTTTGCAATCAGTTGTCCCCCTATGGCCAAGTGGTGTCTAATGGAACGGTCTGTGGTAGGTCATGTCGACACTAATCAGTCGAAAACGTTTTTATGTGTTCTATTTTGCAGTTGCGAAGAATACACCACGCCACAATCAATGGACGTCAATCATTCTCGCGCTCGGCATCTCTATGGTGATTTTCATATGAAATATGGAAAAGCCAGGCACGGAAATTTTTTTTACTAATCTGTATTATTTATAATCTCAGGAGGAAAATTATTTTTTGTGTGTAAGGAATGTAATTAGAGTCACTAAACATAAATTGACTTGAATATTCTGTAATAAAGTTCTTTTTTTACTCATGGCTCGGAACGGAGGCAACTGTACAAAGTTTTCAATGTATTCCAAACATTTCTGGGGGGGGGGGGGGGCTTGAAAACCAAGTCTCAGTGAGAACTTTTTTGAAAATTTTGTAAAATTTATAATAGAAAGCCTTATATTGCCTATTTCGAGTCAATATACAGTACCAGTCAATAAAATTCACAAAAACAGATTTTTCGATTGATTTTCGACTGTTTTGACAATTTTTAGGAAGTCTGGAGATCACTAGTCAATTTTTCGATCACTGTTAAATATTTGGAAGGTGTAGAACAGACCTAGATTAAGAATTTTGCGTTCATAGGATTTTTTTAAAACTCCTCATTTTCAGATATTTTCCGATTTCTGAAAGACACCTATTTCTTTACATTTTCAGTACAAAACGGGTCAATAAAAAGTCTTTCGAATATTTGGCAATTAGCTGAAAATCGGCAGTTAGCTGAAAATCGGCAATTATATCAAAAATTCTGTGAATGCAAAATTATTTATTCTGGTCTGATATACACCCTCGAAAACTTTAAATGTAAGAGGAAACTTGACAGCTCCAGACTGGTGAAAATGGTGAAAATGGCTAAAAATCTACTTAAAAATGTATTTCTGTATATTGTGGTCGGCTTGATCGCCCATGTATGTGTCTACTCATTCTATTGACCCGTTCCTGCTGAATCAAAAAAGTTAAATTGGCAACATCAAAAATCGAAATCAATCTCATTAGGCATACGATTTGAAATTTGAAGTCACAAGGGACCGGTTCACTGATCTACATCTTCCTTGTTCAATGGAAATCGGTCCCCCTCCTTTCTTTCATCTGCATTTGTTTCCCACAAGTCAGTCATTTGGAAATCCAGCTTTCCCCACTTTCCGAAATTTTTATATTCTTATCTTCTTTCCCCTTTTTGCCCCCGTCTCTTTTTCACATTCAAACATTGTTTTTACACATATGTCCGTGTCTTCCACTTGTATCCCATTCACCACTTCCTCCCTTATTCATTGTTTTAATTCGATTCAAATTTGTATCCACTTCTCCCACTTTTTTCTGTTGCCGGATAATCTTATCTTTATTGGTGTAGTACGTCTTCTGCCCCTAATTGACCTCTATTCGCTGAAACGGAACACTCATTTGGATGGCGACACTGTGTTTGATTGATAAAAGCTGACTTCTGCAGCAGTGAAACCAACTAACAAAGAAAAAAACGACAGAAGTGGGTGGGAACACAATGCAAAATATTTTTGCTTCTTGTAACTTTCGCTTCTTGGGACTTCGTACTGTTTTTCTATTGAAGTGTGACTATGTGGCCAGACTAACGACATTTTTTGTGGTTTTTCAGCTGGAACTGTATTCGTTGCTGTTTCAGAGGTGATTTATGCTTTTGCAGCATTTTGAAAATTTCTGGTTTTTGCTGATATGAAATTTGTTTGCTACACTTTTTTGTAGTTCGAAGCTTCAGAATTTGACTTGCCTCGTATGATTTACAGTACTACGTTTTTCACTGGATTTTCGGCTCGATTTGACCATTTTCAGAAGTCTGGAAGTCGGTTTTCCGATCGGTTTGAAAATTTTGGAGAATGCAAAACAGATCCAGATTTGAAACTTTTCATGCACAGAATTTTTCAAAAAATTCCAAGTTTTTTGGTTATTTGCCAATTTTGGAAATCCCTTTCGGGCCGTTTTGTACTGAAAACCTGAACAAAAAAGCGTCTTTCAAAAATCGGCGGATAGCTGAAAAACTAGGAATTTTCTAAAAATTCTGTGAATGCAACGTTTTCAAACCAGATCTGTTTTACACCCACCAAAAATTTCAACCTGATCGGAAACTTGACAACCGAGCTCCAGACTCCGGAAAACCGTAAAAATGAAAGGAAATCAACTGAAAATACAGTTTTGTATATTTCAATAACATGTACTGTGTATGTTCTGTCCATTGAGTGAAAAATATGATCTCCAAATTCGGCTTGTTCAGGATAATATAATTCAAAAATTCGCAAAGGTTAGTCAAAATTTTTCGCAAAAATCGACAGTTCTGGTATACTAAAAAATTAGATAGTCTGATATCTCAAATGTTTTGATCAAAAAATCTAATACTCGAAATTCCCAAATTTGAAATTTTGTGACACTGAAAAAATTAACGATCTCCTTTTTCAAAAGTCTTTTTTTTTTGGACTGTCCTTCAAGTCTAGAACGTGAAATTTATCAAAGAAAGTAGCGAACTTTGAGAAAAAAAATGAAAATTTTCGAAAATTCGATTATTTTAATTTGAGTTTTTTTTTTCAAATCTATGAGTTTCCTGGCCTATAATCCGGATCGTTCAACGATTCGAGGGTACAACGGGGTACAAATTGATTTAGGTTTACGAAATCACTAACTCTGGGGAACAAAGCTCGACTTTTTCCAGAGATTTTGCACCCCCGAATTGAGGATTTTGTTCCCCTAAATCACGTTGTATCCCAATGACCTCAACATTTTTTGTACCCTCTATGTGACAAGCTTTCTGAGTTTGGTGTTCTGGGTTCTACAAGCCTTAAACCCAATACCTTGTTCTTAGAATAATCATTAGATGTCTCCGCGTCGTTCCTAACGACTATCAAAAAAATGTCTGGCAAATTGAACGCGGAATAAAAATACGATATACGATTTCACTAATGTGCCATTGGACAATCAACGACGCAACAACTGCTTCCTCCTTCGCTTTCACCATTCATTCTTTTTTTCACCGTCGTCGTCACCAACACCGTCTCCTTCATCTTGTTTCGACCGTCAAAACTTGTCCTTTGCCAAGTTTCGCCTTCAACAAGGCTGCAACAAAATGACGGCCCGCGCGCCTATTACCGGATATATTTCACGTTGGCCACTCTCTATCAAGGACACCTTGAGATGTTGAAAAAAGGGGCAGGAAGGAAGGTTTTGCGCAACAGCGCAGCGAGGAGGCGACAAAATAGTGGCGATCCTTATCATTTTTTAATGAGGTACGCCTCGCTTGCGCAAGCGTGTTGCGCCACCACTTTCAAAAAATGAGGAGGAACATGTTGCTTAGTTGGATGTATCCTTTTTGTCTGTGTTTTTTTACAGGTTAGGTGTTCATACACCAACTGACATTTAGTTATAAAGTCTAGATCTACCAGCTAATATACCATTTTTCCATAAAATATTTGTGATCTTACGATACGCAATTTATTAGTTGACACATCTTTCGCATCTTTCACAGAAACCAAAATAATTGAGTTCGAAGTTGACGGTTTGGGTGGGCTTCTATCAGACGAAATACGGGCGATTTATAGCTATTTTTGAATTATCCATTCTACCATATTTTTGTCCGTCCATTTATTTTTTTTCATATTACAATAAAATAATGCTAATCGAAGTCAAGCGTCTTAATAATTGGCACTTATGAGAAATGTCCACTTCACCACCAATTTATGCTTCTCCCACCTCTTTCCTTATTCTCGCCGCATTGTCTTTCAAAAAACTTTCACTCATCATTTCACTTTACTTTGATATATACCAGTTTTCTCATCCATTCCCATTCTTTTTTCTCAATTCCTATTCTTCACTATCTCAGTTCTTTTTCTACTCCATTTCATTACTACTACATCACACTCTGGCTTTTTTTGCAGTTCGCCACTTGTTACCCCTCGTTGATTAATTTTGTTCCTTTGTTACCCACCAAACCATTTACCTTTTCTAGATCAGAAAAATGTTGCGGCTAACAATCTTTTTGGCAGCGTTCGCTACACTCGGATATTGTCAAGAGAATGGAATTGATTTTGATAATCCGGGAGTGAGTTTTGACTAAAAAGATTTTCAAACGGAAAACTGTTTTTCAGAATTGTGGAACAGAAGCCAGCAATTGGAAGCCGTGCATTGAGCGGAAAGTAGCAGACCAAGTTTTCGGAAGCTGCTGCTCCAGATTTGTGCCACCTGAGTGTCGTGGACTCTGTATCTACGAGACAAATGCCATTGAAGCCAGAGTTGTGGTAAGTTTGAGTTGAATTTAGAGGATCTCAGTTCCTAAAAATCGCAACATTTGTTATGTTTCACAGAATATTGATTTTAAAGAATATGGAGCTTCGGGGTTACACTCTCAGTACTAAATTGTTTGCCAGAGAGGCTTTAGACCAGAAAAATCTGTAAAAGCTGAATTATGTTACAGTACCGGTCAATAATATAATAAACGAAAACATGTGGTTCAGTTTATTTCGGTAATTTTCAGGATTCTAGAGCTCGGCTGTCAAGTTTCGGATCACTTTGAAGATTTTAGAAGACACAGAGCTAGACTGAAAACATTGTATTTACAGAATTTTTTGAAAATTCCTAGTTTTTTAGCAAGTCTCCGATTTTGAAAATACACCTTTTATCTATTTTCATACTGAAACTGTGGAAAAAAACAGATGTACTTCAGAAGTTGGAAAGTAGCTGAAAAAACTAGGGAATCTCATGAAACTGGACAAACGCAAAATTTTCAATTTAGGTTTGTTTTACACACTCCAACCTTTTCAAAGTGATTGAAAACTTGGCAGCCGAGCTTCAGCTTCCTGAAAATTGTTATAATCTACTGAAAAGAGCGTATTTGAACGTCTTTTGTAAAATTTTTGTACTGTATGTGAAAATACACAAGTTTTTTGAAAAGTATTATTTGCGGTTGAACGTCTAGAACAGTCGATAATAGTTCAAAATTAGGATAATCTGATAAAATCGAATTCTTTATTTTTCTACTAATGTCTTCCAGCTAATGCACACCATCCAACCATCCCGCTGCCGTCTTTACAAATATCTCCCAGCTATTGTCCACTGTGCCGCACAAACCCACGACAACAGCGAATGCTGCAGATCCAACGGAGTCGCTGAACTCGGAGAGCAATGCGTTCAAATGTGCCAACCACAAAGCAACCCACGACGATTCTGGGGAGTCAAGTCCCTCCGCAAGGATATGGTTGTCTGCTTGGCCCGTTGGGATCAAATCATGCAATGCCACCAGTCTGGTCTCAGAGCGAGAAAGGTTCCACGTGTGAACGCCTAAATTTCCTTCCCCTCTTATCTTCGAAAATCTCATCTCCAAACACTCAAAATAATTATTATTATTACCACCTGTTACTCATTTCTCTAATATCCCCTCACCTTCTTCAACAACATCTTTCTCTTTGAGTATTTTGTTTTCTCATTCTGCTCGTTTTTTTTTGTCTGTCCTGGTCATATCATAAATTGATTCTTTGTATTTTTCTACGTTTTTGTTTAGAGTTTTCCCAAGGAACAAGAAAACAGAAAAAAGGCTTCCAGTAGTTATTTATGACGACTCAACCAGTATGACTTTTTTCTACAAATCAGATTTATTTCTTTCCCTTACATTCAGCTGCCGTTCGTGTGTCTATGGAAATGGGACCGGTATAACATTTTGAGGTAATTTCAATAATCGGAATCGAAAAAACCCTTCAAAGTTATGGTACCTTCGATTTAATCGAAACTGTGCTGATTTTTAGAAGGAAGATGACAGTTTTGAATGAATAAAAAAAAAGTTAATAGTCTTCACACTTTAGAGCGGGATATCTTGACTGGATGATTTCTTACAACAAAGTTTTCCACTGCGAAATTGAAAATCTACATATGGTTTTTCGTATACCTTGAAATTTTCAGGCTTTTCAAACAACATTTATTAGGTTGTTTTATTTCATAATTGACTATGTTTCACCAAAGCCAGGAGAAGTTGAATTTTCGGCCGATACTGTAGGTAAATAACACTGCATTCAAAAACGATGACCTTTCTCACCCATTAACGGTATTTTATAGTTCATATTTGAATGCTCCTATTTGCTGTTTGCTAATGGCATGCACTTTAGCTCTCACACAGAATGGCTCATCAAACTAGAATTGCTAATAAAGTCATTTTATGACCCACTATAACTACCTGCACTTTTACATATCAGTAACTGGATACTGTAGAAAGAGTACTGTAGCAAAAGTATAGGATCGCTGGCAACAGAAAGCATCCATAGTGTTGAGAGGAGTCGAATGAAATTCAAGGTACCGTAAAGCATGTATTGGAACGACCTCTTCAACAGATAGGCTCCTCTAATAGAATGGCTCTTTAAGAAAAACTTGAAATAAAAATAGAACGGCTCCTGTGATAGACGAACTCCCTCAATTGTGTTGTTTGAAATTGAAAATTCCTTCACATTTTTAGTGAAAAATAATTCGAAAATTCGTTAAAACAGAGTTTTTCTGAACAATTTGCTCAATTACAATAAAATTGATAGGTTTTCATAACTTTTGAACGAGAATTCACCGAATTTTTGAAAAATTAAGACTTTCGAAGAAAAAAAATTGCCGTAAAAAGGAAACTCCAATAGTTCCTTGGAACAATGAAAGGGACTTACAGGTTAAACGATATTTTTTGAGAAATACGAAAACTTATATATTAGTTTATTACAATATGACAGGATTATTTATATTTTCGTGTCAAATTTACTTGCGTCACGTCGAAGTGCAAAAACTTTATTTGAAATCCAATATTGTCTTAGAATTGGGATCCTAATGTTTTCCCAACTTCTCGTCTGACAGTAATTAAAAACAAAACTACAGTGTCCCTGTGATTGTACAGTATCCTGTGACTACAGTATCCCTTAGATTGTATAGTATCCCTGTGTTTGATCAAGTTTTATTCCAGAATAAGGAAAGTTGCGAAATAATCCTAAATTCTATTCAGTCGGATATGACAATAGTAATTAAAAGTTTTTGCGGTTTTACTCATGATATGATTTTGTACAACAAAGTTGACAAGTAAAAATATTGAAATCTATATTTTTCCGTATGCCTGATATTTTCAGGATTATCCAATGAAATGCACATTGATTTTCAGACATTTAAAGTTGACTAATTTCAACAAAAAATAGACAAAAATATATAATATGCTATTGGCAACTACGGTATGTCAACATTATCCCAAATAGGACAGCATTCAAACTTGTTGACTTTTCTCACCCATAATTGATGATTTGGAGTAGATATTTGAATTTAATTGCTCACTATTTGCTGATGGCTCGCATCTTAGCTTTCACATATCATGATTCATAAAACAAGAATTGCTCATAAGGTCACCTCATCCAAACTCCTCCCCTTTTTTTCTATCACCTCATCCAAACTCCTCCCCTTTTATCATCAGTCTTCGTTTACTGTAGCACGAGCATCGGCTTGCTGATTATTTATTTGATAACATTTCAAGTTGCGTTTCAAGATCCGCCAAAAAAAACGAGCTATGTCCAGGGTGGTACTTAAGCTGGTTCTTTGGAGAGGTATAACAACAAGGTTTCAAAATTCCTAGTCAGATAGTAATAGAAAGGACTACTGTACTATTCAAAAAGTATGAAATTTGAGAGCACTTAATTCAAATTAGCCTATTGAGAAAGTGGGTCTATTCAGAAAGTGTTCGAAAGTGAAATAATTCATGATAGTAGCATGTGCTACAGGACATTCTGCATTTGACAAAGGAACCTTAACACCTCACAGACCCAGATTTTGATTAAAACTTCAAGATACGTCAAGGATAGCCTATCTAGACATTTCTGAAATTTTTAGAAATTTTCAGTTTCAGCCGAGCTACATCAGTTTCAGTACCGAAAATCACCATTTCAGTGCAAAACAGCGATTTTCAAAGACGATTTTCTCAAGTCCTAGGACCTTTAAGAACCTGAAAAATGTTGCTTTATACTCACATTTGGATAAATTTTGATATTTCAAATTTTTTCTCAGCATATTAATTTTTCAGTTTTCGAAGAAATCTGGAAAACCGTGAAAAAATTAAAAAATAAAAATTTTTTGTTCTTGAGAAACTATTTGAAATATCAAAATTCATTAAATTCACTGAAACGGCAATTTTCGCTACTGAAACTGATATAACTCGGCTGAAACTGGCGGGCTTAACTTCAGATACTTCCAGATAAGCTATCCTGACATATTCTGAAATTTTCATCAAAATCTGGGTTTGTGGGTTGTTGAGGTTTCCTTGTTAAGAGATTTATAGATTCTGAAACAAACATTTAATTGAGCAACACTACGTGCATTTGCTTTTATCAAACGGTTGAAACATTCCTGCACTTCTCATAAATTCACCACCTCCTTTCAAATTGCTGAGATAATAACGAAATTGCTGTACTTCTTCTTTCCTTTTATTGAGTCTCACTAAAACCAGAATACGTCTATTGAGCCCATCCTTTTTTCCTCGGTATTTGGCCCACAAGATTTTTCCTTGTCGGATAATAAAATTGGGTTTCTTAAGATGGTTATGGGGCATTTCAGCCTTTCGAATTTCTTTTTGAGATTTTTCGGAGGACCACTTAGGCTCCACCCATATTTTGAGCGTGAGTCCAACATTTCTTCCGGGTAGGGTTGAACTCTCCTATTTAGCATCTCTACTTCTGCCCAAAAATATCAGTTATGTTTCGCGTCCGGGACTATAATTGGGATTTGTTGCCAATATTTAGGAAGGTTGGTGGCTCAAAAATGGAATAAAGGGTTGGAAAAATGTAACATTAGATATAAGACAACAATATCATATTTTTAAAAATCTAAAAATAACTGGTTATTTTCATTTCCTATCAAAAAACTATTCCATCTGCCAATGGAGACTCCAAAGACTGTCCTGTTAATTATGTAACTTGCACAAAAAACTGTATTTGATATGTCACAAAGAATCATTACTTTTACCTTCAAAGAGATAGATTTTGCTTGCCGACAACTAAATTATTCATTTTAGTTATCTTGAATAAGCCGAACAAGTACATAGAGAGTCCGTCGGTATCACACCTTTGATGTATTCATCACTGTCCTTTTGCCTATCAAATTTGGAACTATTTTGGAGATTGTTGGGAAGTATAATTCGGAAGAAATAGCAAATTGAATTAGATGTTTGATTTTTCCATCAAATTTCTATGGTAGCAGAAAAAATTTCACCGTAAAACACTTCAAAGTTATGAACCCTCAAATTTTTAATTTTAAAGGAGGCGAGACAGCAAAAGTTTTGGGGGACAGTTTGGGGGACGAAATCGCGCCGCGCTTAGTAGGCCATCGTTCGGCAGCTGCTTTTCCGCTCTCGTAGCTCAGCCGGTAGCGGCGCTGTACCCCTGAGCTGCCTGTCATGAGTTCAACTCCTCATGGGGGTTCACTAGGCAAAATATCAGGAAAACTTTGTTTTTGATGTCTGGCCTCCTTTAAGCTTTTATCTTCACTGCTGTGAGAGATATCAATTAGTGGTTAACTGACAAAATACTATGAATTTCATGAAGAACATTTTGTCAGTTGGCGTTTTTTAGATATCTAGCTCAGGAAAGGTAACATTGGGACTCAACGTTTACCGTTTTGCGGGACTTTTCCTAAAATCAGTACACTGATCATATTCCTGGTCCGGCAGGTCGTCGCCGACTATTCGAAAAAACCCCGTTTTCTTCTGTCTCGGTTCGCGATCGGTTTTAGGTACAGTATTCGCTTGAAAAGTTAGTTTCAAGAGTATCAATCACTGTCTCAATCGTTCGCACTCTCAATTTTGCTACACTATTTCATTTCGCATACATCAATTTGCCAATAAAATTGTCTCTGTTTCAAAAAGTCAATTAAAATTTCTCTTTTCACTACGAAAACTGATCACAAAACTGTTCGGAAAGAGACAAAGTTCATAAGTAGTGAAGTGGAATCAGGTTACTGTGAAGTGTTTGTGCCTATAAAAACCATTTTGAGCTCTTTCACAGATTGTAGTCCTTCTTATTTTGGACCTCATTCAAATAAAATCACAATCTTTTTAGACCGTTATTTCTAATTTTGGACGTAGATTGATGTATGTGTTCTAGAGGCAAACGTTTCCCAGACAACTCGCGCTGTTCTTCTTTTTTTTCAAAGTTGCGTCATTCACAAATAGCTGTTTGGTACGGTAGAAAAGTGCACTATCTGAAATACCTGCGACTTATTGCGGCACCACAGAGGCCCCCACAGAGGCCCTTTCTCTTTTCTGTGAATTTGCTCTCATTCATTCTTACT